GAAAAATGAATCGTTGAGCGAATCGTTTGGGAGTCGTTGAGCAAGTAAGGTAAAAACAAATGCATATTATAAGACAATAAAAGTGTTTTTTGACCTTGCATGCATGTCAACCTGTTGTTGGGGACTCCCAAAACCAAAATATTAACCTTTCATAACCCATAATAGGGGCACTTTAATTGTTATCATTATTTGGTACTATGCACCTTTATTGGATTTTCCTCTACATTTAGAGCTGAATGTGTGTTCTTTGACTGTTCGCTCAAGGAAATGAAGATCCACATATTCAGTTGTATGTGTAGAGAACATGAAAAATAAAAAAAAAGACTTTAAAAATTTCTCTCTTTTTTGTCTTTGTAAAAATAAAGCCAGTTTTCAACTGTTGGTCCGTGGACTGATATAAAACCCATCATTAAACAAATGTAAATCTCTGTTGGCTGTTAGCATAATGTGGTAATGGTTGTTTATAATAATGTTTTTTTTAATTAAAATAATACAGTGAAATAATGCAATTATAATATAGTGTGTGTTTTTATTAAAAATAATTAATTTAGGGGTTTTTGAGTTGACAACCCAATTCTCAGTTTTATAAAATGACCAGTAGGGGGCATTTGCATATTTATATATTTAAATTACATGATGGGAATGCATTTTTCATTACATGTCTTTTATATGTCATTCACTCCCTTCTGCAAGAGTTGATCAATTATAACCGCAAAACCAATATTTTTTTCTTTGATTCATGTTATTTGAATCATATAAACAAACTTTTGAATCATACATTCAACATTTGAATCATATAAACAAACTTTAAATCAAGATTTGGATGCACTTATGCCTTAGTTTTATCTCAGATCAAGCGTTGACATTTATTTACCATGCCATTTTCCTACATAAAAAGAAATTATGAACACCTTTATTACTTAGATATTAAAAATGTATTAAAATAAATAAATAACATATTTATTTATTCAACTTAAAATCTTTTTTTTTAACAAAAATGTCCATATTTGTCAGCTACCCTCATATGCATGCATTTATGTATTTAATGCAAGCATAAATGTACTGGTTGGCGTTTTTATAGTTTGTTTTATTGTTTGTTATATATTCATAGCTATATTTTTTCATTGTGTTTGTGTGTAAAACACAATAAAAAATATAGCTATGAATAAAAAAAAAGTAATAAATAGTCTAATAATAAATACACGGAAAGATTAATAAGCAGAGGAAAGTAAATTAAACCCCAATTCACATTTTTATTGTGAGAAGTCACGTGAGTCTGCCTCTGGTTGCTGGTTTCTGTCCTCGCTCGGGCTCCGTTACATCCCGGTCTGCCCTCTGCGCATGCGCACTGCCGCTGTCTGCGCTCGTGTGGGGCCCGTGAGGATCCAGCGGGAGTGTTAGCTGTGTAATGGCGGCTTCGGTGTTGCTCTCCGCGGAAAGCGCCGTGCCCTCTTTTACCGTCGGCCATCCCGCCGGAGCGGCGGCGGCGGGAACTACTCATCACGGATTATCCAATGCTCCCGGACCCGCGTCCTGGAACCGCTCGCTGGACCGGGCGCTGGACGAGGCGGCGGCCACCGGAGCGCTCAACCTCAGCGGCAGGAAGCTGAAGGAGTTCCCGAGGAGCGCCGCCGGACACGACCTGACCGACACCACCCGGGCCGGTAACGTTACCGAGCCAAATCTTTATATTCTGTTCCCCTTCAACCGTTAACTCACCCACAAGCTACATTAAAACCGCAGCGGGCGAGTTTTACACTAGTTTACACTGTGTTTGATGGTGTAAACACGCGGGTGAGTGCTGGGCTGGAAGCCCATCTGAACTCATGATCAGTCATTTGTGTCCAATAAATGTGAACGTTTCACCTTCAGAAATGAGCTTTGTCTAAAGTTGAGATTAACTCGTAAACTTTCAGGTCATGGTTGATGTTAATGGGACACTTGAGGAACATGCGTCAGATATCTGTCAAATTCAGCTCCGTGTACGTTACGTTAGTTTATGTGAGACCCGAACAGGTTTTGTTTGACAGGTTTGATCATCTTGTTGACTTTATAAGGTCTGTTTATGAGGTTTTGAGGTATGCAGTCATATTAAAGGGTTTCATCTTTAAAGGATTAGTTCACTTCCAGAATAGAAATTTCCTGGTAATTTCATTTACTCACCCCCATGTCATCCAAGATGTTCAATGTCTTTCTTTCTTTCTTCAGTAGCAAAGAAATTAAGGTTTTTGAGGAAAAGATTCCAGGATTTTTCTCCATATAATGGACTTCAATGGGGACCAACGGGCTGAATGTCCGAATTGCAGCTTCAAAGGGCTCTACACGATCCCAGCCGAGGAGTGAGAGTCTTATTTGGCGAAACCATCTGTCATTTTCTTAAAAAAATAAAAATGTATACTTTTTTTTTTTTTTACCACAAATGCTCATCTTGCAGTAGCTGGACTTTACGCATTATATAGTCATGTTGGAAAGGTCACGCGTGACGCAGGCGGAAGCACCGACCCAGTGTTTACAAAGAAAAGTGCAAAGATGAGTCAAAAGCCCTTTACAAAAAAAGGTCGATTTTGAAGTTGGAAGAGAAAATGAGATGGAGTTTTTCACCCAACCCTACCTTTTTGAACCGGAGCACACAGACTAAGAGCTGTGACTTTTCCAATGTGATTACGGAATTTGCGGATGCACAACGCGGAGCTAGAGCAAGACATGCATTTGTGGTTAAAAAGTATTTATTTTTATTTTTTAGTAAAATGACAGATGGTTTGGCTAGATAAGACTCTTATTCCTCGGTTGGGATTAGATAGAGCCCTTTGAAGCTGCACTGAAACTGCAATTTAGACCTTCAGCCCCCCGTTGGTTCCCATTGAAGTCCATTATATGGAGAAAAATCCTGGAATGTTTTCCTCAAAAACCTTAAATTCTTTGCGACTGAAGAAAGAAAGACATGAACATCTTGGATGACATGAGGGAGAGTAAATCATCAGGAAAATTTTATTCTGGAATGGAACTAATCCTTTAAGTAGACAGAGGTTTGAACTTGCTGAGTTGCTTGACCATATGAGATCCAGCGAAAGCTTTTGATGATGAAAATATTGATGGGTGGTTGCTGGTCATATGAATCAGGGGTTTTATAATCTTTTAGATGCCATGGACCCCCAAACATAATCATCCTCGTCCAAGGGGACCCCTATCCTAAATTTAAAAGGCTTCTGTATATTTTTTCATGTTTAAAGACACAATTTATTCTGTGAAAAATGAATAATATAAATGTGTAAAATATTTAGTTTTCTATTATGTGACATTGTAACGTCATTTTTGTTTAATTTAATAATATTAAAGTATATATATATATATATATATACATACATATACACGTGCTGTATTTTATTATTATAGTAGATGAACAGATGCTTCACTGATTATTCCAATCAATCTATTGCTTTTTAAAGCGCATGTATGTGTATAGTGACTGAGAATTATATTATTGGTACTATTACTCACTATTCAACATTTTTTTAAATACCTGCCTCTTACGCACATCAAAACAGGACCTACTGTAATCAAACGAAACTAGTAATGTAGCTTGCTTATCTGACACGTACAGGTGCAGGCATTATGGTTTAGGAGTTTCTAGACGTGTTCGGACATGTGATTTTCATTTCATCGCACGAATGACAATCAGAAAAGCAGTGTGTCCTGCATGAGAGCTGTATAAGACCCCATATGTGACCCTGGAGCACAAAAGCAGTCTTAAGTCGCTGGGGTATATTTGTAGCAATAGCCAAAAATACATTGTATGGGTCAAAATTATTGATTTTTCTTTTATGCCAAAAATCATTAGGATATTAAGTAAAGATCATGTTCCATGAAGATATTTTATAAATTTCCTACTGTAAATATATTAAAACTTAATTTTTGATTAGTAATATGCATTGCTAAGAACTTCATATGGACAACTTTAAAG